GATAGATAGATAGATAGATAGATAGATAGATAGATAGATAGATAGATAGATAGATAGATAGATAGATAGATAGATAGATAGATAGATAGATAGATAGATAGATAGATAGATAGATAGATATTTTTCTTGGTTTTTTCTTTTACCATAGTATATATCATGGTAAAAGGAAAAAAAGGAAAAGATAGATAGATAGATAGATATTTTTCTTGGTTTTTTCTTTTACCATAGTATATATCATGGTAAAAGGAAAAAAAGGAAAATTAAATGTCTCTCTCTCTCTCTCTCTCTCTCTCTCTCTCTATCTATCTATCTATCTATCTATCTATCTCTCTCTCTCTCTTTCTCTCTCCCTCCCTCCTTCCTCCCCCCCCTCTCTCTGTGTACCATTTACTACTATTCACGATGTTCGGTATCCCTGAGGGGGTCTGTCCCTACTCTCTCTCCCTCCCTCCCTCCTTCCTCCCCCCCCTTTCTCTGTGTACCATTTACTACTATTCACGATGTTCGGTATCCCTGAGGGGGTCTGTCCCTATAGCAGATATGGGGTTCTTTCTGTATCCTGTATGATTCTTCCATGTGGTTTTTAAAACCTGGCTTTGCTCTTCTGTGTTCTGTAGCCGTGCCAGACTGGCTCTGAACCAGTGATGCACTAATTACTCCTCGGAGATGGAGGCAGTTTAGATGGGGCACAGGGCTTTCAAATCAATTACTGAGAACTGAGTCTCCTCCAGTCTCTATGTCCTCCTGCAAGTGTAACATGCCAAATGTATCTGCCATTGGGTTATCTATCTTTGACCTTTTGGCATGCTACTGCTAATTTTGGACCTTCAGTGTTTCTGTTCTTCCTCTTTTCCAGTAACCTACCCTCAATGACACATAACAGAATTCCTATAAATTTGTAAAAACCTTTATTGGAAAATAAGAACTTTTTAATTCCTATTTTATTTTGTTTCTGTCATTGTGAGGCATGGGTTCTTTGCACAAGCGTTGGTGGGACATAATATACAGGAAAGTTGAGTAGCACAATTTCAAAGATTTATTTTAAAAAGCCAAGGCCAAAACATGGCCTGAGAGTCTTCCAGAAGAATTTTTTTTAAGTTTCACTATTTTCTAATTTGCCATACCAAAAGAAGGCTTTCCTGTGCTATGGCAGTATTGTAGGACTTAAAACAAAATGATCCATCGTATTGTTTTAAGTTTCCTCTTCAGTAGCTCAGGAAGAAAAATCACTTCAGGCCACAAAGTTCTCTATGATTAAAAAGAAAGAATAATGACTCTTTCTGCCTGCGGTAAAATATTGTGCCTTATTTAAAATAATAATAACAATAATAACCACTATTAATAATTAATAATGTAACTGCTTTATATTCATCCCTAATAATACAATACAGCTTCTAGAAACATTAGAGGATTAATATTTTAGAATCCATAGATTAAAGTCTTTTTCTTATCTTTGTTCAGAAATGTGCTTAAGCCTCATATTTTAATGAGCATGAACAATGACCAGGTACTTCTTGAAGAGAAAGAATGCTAGCATTTGTTGTCCCTACAACCCGAGTCAACCAACTCATTGTTATATTCCTATACCAAGATATAATGTGATATGGAGACTCCGATGATACGTTTACCTTCAGATAAATTTTACTTCTGATGGTGGAAAGGGGACCTCAGCAGCACTACACCAATGACATCACAACTGAATCAAGCAAATATTTTTGGCCAATGTCTGTGGATCTTCCCCATACAGAGAAGGGGAGCCTCGTGGTGCAATGGTTAAACTGCTGTACTGCAGCCCAAACTGTGCTCACGACCCGGGGTTCAATCCCAGGTAGCCGGCTCAAGGTTGACTCAGCCTTCTATCCTTCTGAGGTTGGTAAAATGAGTACCCAGCTTGCTTGGGGGGGGGCAATGTGTAGCCTGCATAATTAACTCGTAAACTACCTAGAGAGTGCTTGAAGCGTTATGGGGTGGTATATAAGCAGCACGCTTTGCTTTGCTTTTCCTTTGCTTTACTTTGATGTCCAGTGAGCCTGGGGACTGGTGATGCAAAGGACAAGGCAGCTGACGAGAAGCAAAGCCAGGGAGGCATTCTAGGTGAAGAACACTGAACAGCAGCACTCCACATTGCAGCTACACTACATCACACTGCTGTAAGCTGCTTTCAGTCCCTTGTGGGGAGAAAGGCAGCAAACAAACAAACAAATAAAAATATGGTGGGCTGTTGTGGAGGCCAAGAAATTGATGTTTTCTTCTTGAGTCGACCTGCAATAATTATTTTTGTCCTTCACAATGTCTATATGCTGCAGTACTGACACTAGGTGGTTTTGTTAACAGCCGCTCATCTATATTTTTCAACAGAGGAAAGATGAGCCAGAACGGACAAGAACCAGTGAAGCAGTCAGGAGTGGGATTAACAGAGGCTGAAGGTAAAGTGAATGCCATAACAGTGAAAGAATGCAATTTACAGGCTTGTAGAAATTATCTTTTGGCTTTTCCATAATAAGTAGAAGCACCTTAGAAAACTGGGATGTAAGGACCCTAAGATCTTCATATTTACATTCAGGTTATTTCCAAATGTTGCACCTAGGAATGACAACGGTGGATAAGGGTCTGTGGAAGCTGATAGACCGAGGCCGTCTCCACACACACCCTCCACAACCTCTGCCATCCCAGGCTTTATCTGTTATGTGTCTGTATTGTCTGTCTCTATGTACCTGTAATATAATTGACCGTTATGCTATAGAAGTAGTAGTTGTTGTTGTAGATATATGTGTCAAATTGTTAGGATGGGTGGGGAAGGAGTGCTGGAGAGGAACAGGAATACAGGTGGCAAAGACAGACACACTTTAATTGCAGCAGCTGATCTGAAATATGCTCAGTAAAGTAACACATCCTGTTTCATGAATGTTAAACTATCATTGTATTTCAGTTTGTCCAAAGATATACTGCATGCTACCTTGTTGAAGTCACTAACCATGCAGGCTGGCCTTCCAGTGTCAACAAATTGGATAGATTTTGCCCTCACTGTAAAAAAAATTCTGTGTTATTATTTTCCTCTTTCCCTTAGGAATGAGTGGCAGCTATACATAAGGCAAGATCAATTCAATCATTCAGAGATGCCTTGGGATTGAGCAGGTTCAATCTATTTCCCTCCTCAGATGAACCAAGTCTCTAGAATGATAAGAGATCAAAAGATTAGGTCTTGTATGTACAAAAAGCCTTAGGTTCAATTGTGGACATTTTCTGTATGAAAGAACTCAAAATGGTAGGGCTGAAAATTTGGAAAGCCACTGCCATTCAAAATAGATAGCTCTGGGCTCAATGTGCAACACAGCTTATTCATGTATTATCTACTTCTCCTACGAAGCCTGTTGTTTTTGGTCTGTAGAATTATAGAAAACTGAACCAATTCTTATCTGCACAGGACTCCTTTATTTTCATAAACCCTTCCCCACCTGACACAACCTGTTTCTTCATTATGCTTGAGAATAAAACTAGAGTGCAAAGGTGAGAACTGGTTTATACGTGATTATGGCCATAATAATGGCAATGATTGTGGTGGAGATGAATATCATTTCAGCAGCTGCTTTTTTCGTCCTTGACAGTGTCCTTTAAATGCTTTATTTACAACACTATGCTACAAATATGATGGCAAATTTAAGGTATTAGTTCTGCAATAAGCAAAGGGTCATAAATTACATGGTGTCAGCTTTGAATTCTTCTTGAAGATAATATGTGATTTATTTTAACTGCACAGAATTAATGATGCTTAACATCTTTGATTCAGCCAACCAGAAAAAAAAAACCAGAGGACGGTGTCCACTGTATTTTGGGAAACAATCTGTATCAGACTTTTACACTGCCACGTAATGTAAAATCAGGCAACTCTTAGTTCATCAGGGTCAAAATTAGGGTTTAAATAAGTTATACTGGTCTTTTCTTGATTTAAAAAAAATCTTATCACCTTCACACAATACTATCATCTCTAAGGATTATTTCTTGTGATTCATGACATTAGAACATCGTTTGCTATACAAACTACAGCCCACTAAGTATCACCCAGGTGCTAGTAATGGGTCATTGGTAGATTTACTATGTGAAAACTTCGCTAAACGGAACGGGGAAGCCCACTGTGACCATAGTTCCAAATGGGCACAAAACTCACAGTTTAGCGAAGTTTTCAGGGTCCGGCAGCCATTTTCGCACCCTCGGTAAGCAAGGGGAGAGCGCGAAAATGCTGCGTGTGGCCATTTTGGGCGTCCGGCGGCCATTTTGAAACCGCCGAACAGATGATCTGCGGGCGTCCCAAAGCGAAGATCGGTAAGCGAAACGCTTACCGATCTTCGCTATGCGAGTTTTGCCCATTGAGGCCGACACTATGCCTCCGCATTAGTGATCCCGAAAACGGGATCGCTATGCGGATTCGTCGTTATACAGTGCGCTTGTTAAGTGAGGCACCACTGTACAGCCCACTAAGTATCTTCCAGGTGCTAGTAATAGGTCATTGGTAGATTTGGATAAGCCTGAAGTAGAATGTATGGTCTGATAGACTTGTCAGAAGCCTTGTTAATTTTAGCAAGTTCTTCTAATGTTCCATGGAAAATGCCACCCCTTAAAAATCCCAAAGCCAGTGCCAAGATCAGTGTTATGTGGAATTAAGTGACAATATTAGAATGTTTACTTACTTCTGATCAGAGTGCCTCGATTTTGTTTTACATCCCACTCAAATGGTGTTCCCCAGATGTACCCACTTATATGAGATGATTTAAATTAGGCATCCTTCAGGCTTGAGAGACCATGGTAACATGCTCTGTTACCATGGTCTCTAGTGTGGCTGAAAAGGCCAATTCGAGAGTGACAATCCCTTCCACACTGAAGACAATCTGTGCCCTGTCAGGCTTCCTGATTTTGCTGGTTTGGGGACTGCCTCTTTGCCTCGGCCTGCTGGACAAGAGTCTCTTCGAATTGGGAGAGGGCGTGATGCACTGCCTGCGTCCAGGCTGAACGCTCTGATGTCAGAGTTTCCCATCTGTTGAGGTCTATTCCTAAGGCCTTCAGATCCCGCTTGCAGATATCATTGTATCGCAGCTGTGGTC